CTTTGTTATCATAATTGAAACCCTATACAGCTATTAATATTATATAGCACTTCAAGCATGCAAAGTGGTTTACATCCCCTATTTCATTAATCTGTTTAGCAGGATAGGTGATTATGATGAGAAAATTAAAATGATGTTAAAGCCTGGGGAAATCTATGCCTGAAGCCAATGCAGACACAAGATTCACAGCTAGGGTTTAGGATATCTAGTCTTTTGTTGATGTTAATCATAATAAAGAGTTACATTCACCCCATAATGCTAATTGTGTTAATGTCAGCCAGGTTTCCTTGGAAAACCACTATTTGCAAAACTGGTTTAAAATTCTGAACAATGAGGAAACCACGTCTTTACAGAGCTCTCTAGTACCCAGATCACTCTCCTCCCTTGTATTTTAGCATAATGGCACACATTTGAAATCCTATGCTATGCTGCCACCTAAGCAACCAGCTTGGCTTGCCTCAAGCCACACTGTTTTTGACAAAGTAAGACTTAGCCAGCTCAGGCTACCAGTTCTACATAAGCATGGCCGCCATACAGCTTAGCCTCAATTTATGGGTGTCTGATGCCTGGTTGGTTGCTGACATCCATGATATGCCTTGGTGGTCAGCTGCTACAGCTTAGTTTCTTGTGGTAAAACTCTACTAATGGGGCCTGATGTGGAATTGCGGTGATAGTCATAGAGGAATGCCAGATTATGGAAAGCTTGGAGCAAATCCAGGTAGAGGCACTCCTTTTTCTGGTGCCATATTGCGGGGGGGGGGCAGTCATTCCACAGTGAGGTTTTGAGCAAACGGCAAGGAGGGGCTAGTTTGACCACCTTTCCAGATCCTTTTCTAAAAGAAGGGGCCCAGTATAACTCATGATAGGGCTGCCGTTGCCTGTATCTTTCATTCCTGCAGCTCCACCTGAAGGTCTTTTGCTCCCTTTATGTCCCTTCTTTCTTCACTGATATTTTGATGGATGGAACTCTTTCCAAGGAATATCTGCGTACATCACCTCTTTCCTTTCAAATCCTTTGTTGTGACTGGTATATTCTGTGAAATATTTAATGCAAACAATGGTGGAGTCCCATAGGGTTTCATCATAGTCACTCTTTTCTCTTAAATCCTCATTTACAGAATAATCAAACTTTTACTGAGTGAGGTTTGTGATATTTTCTGATCCCATTGGAATTCCATTGTACTGAGGAGTTGATATCAGAGCTTCTGTTTCATTTAAATATTCTATACATAATGTTTCTTAAATCCACTGAGAATTCCCATGTTCTCTCCAAACAGGACCAGCCCAAGCCCTATGCAGAGATTACAAAATTTAGTGAATACTCATATGCAGAGGGGGACATTGTAGACATGTACCCTCTGTCTGTTTTTCTTTCTATACGTGGAAGATGACAAGTTTGAGGGGGAGCCTCTGTTTTCCATGTGGGTCCTTAATTTGAGTTGGGATCTTGGAAAACCAGGATATCAGTTCACAACCAGAGTGCACACAGATAGTGGCACTCTTTCTCTTCACACTCGTCACCACCCGTGCATGCAAGGTCGTTGGAATTAACAATGAAGAGGGTGGGGCTAGAGTGCTCCCCTCTGTAAGTAAATGCTTACCATGGTTTTTATACCTAACTAGATAGAGCTCTGCTGATAGACAGACTGTATCACTTTTCTTCCTTGGTGCTATCATTCACCTGAAAATGTTGTGGGAACTTTGTTGTATTAGCTGCGGGATGGGAGTACTCTAGTGAGAAAATGCAATAGATTTGTTGGGACAGTATTTTTCCTGGCTATTTTTTGTCTTTTAAAAAATGCTGTTGAGAGTGAGTGGCTGGGACGCATTAATGTTGGTTAGAACTCTTCAGGTAAAAGTGCCTAGCTCTGTGTGAATTCTGCAGCGGAAGGGGGGGGGTAGGAAATTTATTGGCTTGCTTTGAGGCTGTAGATCAGAATAATAAGGTTTTTTTTAATCATTCATTTGATGATAATGAAAATGCAAACTTAGTTTATTGAAACTATTTTTTCTTTCCTTTGAGGAAATCATTTCATTGAGGACAATAGATTCTACTAGTAGTGATTTAGAATCATGTTATTTTTTGAGGAGCCAGGAAAGTAAAGCTTTTGTAACTCTATTCAAAAATATGTATTCAAATAATAACTTGTAAATTAGTGCCTTTACATGACATAATAGAACCTGCCTGCTTAATAAAATAGAAGTAGCACTTTACATCAAAATCTTACACTGTGAAAAGGATGCCACAAATAATTAGTGTCTCCTTTGAATATTATGAGCTGGATATTGTCATTGCAAAATAATTTTGTCTAACTAAATTATTTAGTCAAAACACATATTCAGAAAAGTGTTTCAGCAGGAAGATAAATGCAAATCACACACATGGGAAACAACTGTTTTATTACAAAGTGCAGGTATTTTCACAACTTCACTGTACTTTAATATTAACCCTTCAACTTTCATCTACATCTAGTCTCTCAGACTCCTTTTCTGGTCTTTGGCAAATACAAGTTCTGAGAAGCCAGGTTAAGGTTCAGTAGTTTACACAGAAGGTCACAAAATATGCTATTATTTCACATGGACTATGAAAGATATGCTGAACATACAAGAAATTCACTTCATTAAATGTAACACGATAAAAACAGAAGAGGATGTCTTAAGCAAACAGTGTCTGCAAATATGTTTCCAAAAATAAAATAAACAACCATTCAAATCACAACTAGTATTTAAAAAATACATCTGCTAAAATACAAATGAGAGCTGGCTTGCAAATCACAACCAATATTTGTAGAACTTGGGAGCATTGTCTATATTTTGCAATGTTGGTAGTTAATGGCAGAAATCCTGTTGTGCAGTTATGTATGTGGCATTATCTGTTGTATTGTGAGTTGTGAGATCCAGGATGCAACATATAAGGTCCACATAGATTTCCTATGGCAAGTTACGTTGTTTGTATAACTGTGCAACAGGATTTCAGATAAACTAAGTTATTGAAAAACCCTAAATGTTAGCTGTATATGGGCTTTGATTAGTTAACCAGGAAAACTATTGGTGCTTTTTGAAGAATCTCAGTATAACTGCAAGAAAAAAAAACTTAAAGGTCTTTTAGATATTTAACATCAGTTCCTAAAGTCCCAAATAGGTGAATGCTACTTCCCCCTACCTTGGCCAATCTCCTGTGCCTTTTGGAAGTAAAAAATGTTTTATATAGTCAAATGAGGGGAGGTGGTGAGGACAGCACACTACTATGAAGGATTCAAGACCTGATGATGCAAAACCTCCATTTATAGCTGCTGGTGGATTCTTATTTCACAACCCTTGTAGTTAGGCAAGGAATACTTGGAAAATTCCTTTTGCCCCCTCAGCTTTATCCCTACTTCTGTTTTCCCTTTTCATTAATGACCGCCATCCTCTCACTATCTTTCTTTTATGAGGAGAGGCATTAACTACATTTGTATTAAGATTCTTTTATTTCAGTGGTACATCTGAATAAATATACGCCCCCTTGAAATGAATTGGCTTCTAAAGTGTCAGATTTGAGCTGATTCATATACCCTGCAGCAGATTGGTCTGGCAGGCCTAGGAGACGTTATGGAACACACATCGTTCTGTCCTCTGACAGTGGGGAGCAGATGAAGGATTCAGGAGGAGTATCTGGGAGGCTGCTGCCTTTCTCCCCCTCCCCCTCTGAGCCTGACAGACTCACTCATTTCATTCTGCCAAACCGAGAGGCTAGCCCTGGCTCCTCCCCCTATTGCATGCTGCCCTCCTGAGGGAATCACAAAAACATGTTTTGTCAGCTTTGTCTATGATTTTTCTTCTTCCTTTTTGCAGAATTAGAAGTATCAAATGGCTAATCAAAAAATGAATGAGCCCTTTCATATTTCCCCCACATGGTCCCTCTTCCTGGCTCTGTCATTTCAGCCACGTGTTGAAGGAAGAAGCCATGCATTTCTAAGCGATCCCGCATCATCAACAAATAGGCCCCCTGCCCCATTAACTTGCTAAATTCTGTGATTAATTTTTCCAGTAGATGCATCTAACTTGGATTCTATTTTTAAGAATTCACATTCTTCTCTGTCGGATCCTTGGCAGGATTTTTTTTTAAAAAAAAATCATATGTATATATTATAGAAATGTTGCCATAGCAAATAATTATTTTAAAAATAATTAGTCATCAGAACAGATTTTAACAATTCTCTTTAAGTATAACAGTAAGAAGATAATGTTCTTGTTACTGTTATACTTAACAATGTGCACTTTGTTCATTGAAGCAGTCAAAAGCTGTGCTGTCCATGCTCAGCTCTTAATTGTGTTCCACTCAGTAATAGAATAATGTTTTTTTAAAAAATATTTATATTGCTCAGTAAAACTTTGCAAGTTTATTAATAGGTTTGCTTTAAATGTTCACATATTAGTCTAAGCATTTAATTTTGTTAATTTTTACAAAGTTTTGTTGCTTCTTGTGAAGTTTATAGGAAATGTCGCCTGTAATTAACAGAATAGGCATTAGTTTTTTCTTTATAGTAATATTCTATAAAATCTATCTGGAAAAGTGCTGTTTAATTAATATATTAAGTAGCTGTTATTTTCTCTCTAGCTCCAGGATGTAGTAGGATACAAATCTGATTTGTATCCTACTATGTTTTTAGATACACCCTATATTAAGTGGGGCAGGGGGATCCGGTAAACAGAAGCTTAAAAACACTTCTATGAGTTTTTCCATTATCATTTCCCACCCATAGATTACCTAGTTACAATTGTTGCAGATTTAAGCAATGCCCAAAGCATGCCCAGAAGAAGTGCACACTACAAATGTAGAAGATAGGTTTGTTCACAGGCAATATGCAGTTCATTTAGTAAGTTCAAAAGACAGGCATGGATGGGAAAACAAATAGGAGCCAGACAATAGGCCTCTTGCTTGGTTAGCATGTTGGTACTAGTTTTTTATATTTTGTATTGCAGCCAAAAATTATAATTCTGTTTTGTATTTCTTTCAGGATGCTTCAATTGCTCACAGGTTTCACATAATGCGAGAAAAACATCCAGAGAAGTTCAACAGCAGGTGAGCAAGAAAAAAAGGATCATCTAGTAATAATAGACTATTTTTTGGTGGTAAAGGTACATGTTCTACGGCAATGGGGTTATGCATTTCTGTTGAATGTTAAATAATATCACTACCAAAGCTTGACTATGGCTTATATTAAGATGTGTTTTAACCATCAATCTTTATAGTTTTCATTTAATTTTTTTCACCTTCACTTTCCTGGAACAAAACTTGGTATATTTTGTTTGGTAAATAATGCCCAGAATCCTACTGGTGTTTGTGCAGGGTTTGCATAACTTGTTACAGCTAATTGTAGCTAACTGATAATGTCTGGCATGTATCTTGGTCTTTCTTAGTTCTTCCTTTTTAAAAAAATATCGATTAAGATCTTCTTCTCCTAATATATAATTTCACTCATACACTGTGTGGTGGATCTGATCAGCTCTGCCACGAAAGAGGACAAGCTGGAATTTAGGTAAGGATGATGAAGTAGCCAGGCCCTAGTTTTGTTCAGCTTTTGCAATGGTGAGTGTGTGGCTATCTAGCATTATAAATAGTCCTATACAGTATGCAATGGCACAAAATCTGTATGAAGAGAAGAAAACCTTGAGTAATCTCAGAATGATCGGGAAAAGAAGCAACATAAGCCTTTATAGATATATTTTAAAGACACATTATGAGGGGAGCAGGGACTCTAAGAAATGAATTGTAATGGATGGCAGACCCAAAATGCATTGAGGGTAAAGCTGCTTCCTTTTGTTATTATCAGTGACAGATTATGCTCCCCAAAGTGTCAGTCTACTCTGTTTCCCCCAAAATAAGACCTACCCTGAAAATAAGCCCTAGTATGATTTTTCAGGATGCTCGTAATATAAGCCCTACCCCCGAAATAAGCCCTAGTTAAGTGAAACCCCACCCTCCACCATTGTGCAGCAACTAGAAGAAGATGACACGACTGTATTTGCATAAATGTAGATTGTTGTACATGAAAAAAATAAATAAAACATCCCCTGAAAATAAGCCCTGGTGCACTTTTGGAGCAAAAATTAATATAAGCCAGTCTTATTTTCGAGGAAACATGGTAGATGTTTCTTTAGATTCTCCTCTTGTACAATTAATTGTTATCTGATATAGTAACTGAAGTAGATACTATTCTCAATGATAAGCTATTCTGGCATGTGAAATGCTTGACTCTTAAGACCAGCATGATAGAGATGATGATGCACTGTGTGGTATTTGAAGATCCCTGAGTTGACACTTTGCCATTAGGCATGGCAGAACACTTATTAGACAGCTGCAGCTGTGAATCCTTATGTTTTGCTTCCACTTTCATACTTGTGTGCTGACAGGCGCCTCTTTCATACTCATCACGAGTAAGAGCGACTGAATGCTGTTTTACAAATATAGGCTTCTTATCATTAGGAAGCCTGGAAAAATGTAGAAAATCTGAAAAAAATGATTCTTTACACGTGCACAATATGCTTCTCTCTTCATTTTCAGATGGGACATTGTTCCCAAGAGTATTCAAGGGAGGGGAAAGATGTATTAACACTCATGAGCCCTGGACCCATCTCCAAAGGAGCCTGCTTAAAAGTCATGGTCATAAGCTCTATAGAGCTTCCTCAGTGGCAGGGCAGTTTATGAAATTCATTCCCTAGTCACGTCCTGGTGACCTCCTAGGTTTCCAGGACATCAAGACCTTCTTTTTAACTCTGTTTTCTTTAAGGAAGGTTTTGTATATGCTGATGGTTTCTGTTGCTTGTGTCTTCCTCCACTAAAATGTTTAATATTTTAGTGTTCTGTTGTTTTGTTACCATTTCTTTTTAAGTTGTTACCCTTTTTGGCACTGTTGAATTGTATTAACTTTTAGATGTTGATGTTTTTGGAGACCTGTTTTGTGCCAGAAAGAGAGGAAATGAATCCTTTGCATGACTAAATGAATATGTTATATGGTGGGGGCTTTTGAAATACAACAATTGGACGTAGTGGTTACTGGAGCCTGGAAAATTTACTGTTTTCATCTATAACTCAAGCCAGTATGATCACTGAGCAAACCAAACTTTGAGGTTGGCAGCAGCTTTAGGTCTCCCAAGGAGTAGGTAATGCAAGTAGTTGTGTTTACAATTAGCAGTAGACTAAGTTATGAGAACATGTTCCTCACAATCTAGCGCTGTCCACCATGTCCCATAATAAATTATGAAGGTGCATTCTCCAAAAGTGGCTCCCAATAATTATACCCTAATGAGGGTTCTAAGGCCTTGGAAATTGAAATGGCATATAGACAAATGGAGCTATTGAATACATAGCAAATGCAGAATTTCTATACTCTAATGGTGAAGCTGGTTTATTAGGGTTCTGCTGCATATTTTCAGTAGTTTGCAATTATAATTTATAAAAAGCTCAGCTAATCATATGGTTTCAGCTCAGATTTCATGTCACAATAAATCATATGCCATTAATAATATCTGCTAGCTGGCTCACCTTGAAATTCATCTATATTTTAAAGAACCTGATGCTTCTAACATTATCTTAAGGAAACTGATTAGCAAAATATCTAGTTTTCACCGTTAGACCCTTTCGCTATATAGATACTGAATGAATTTGAGTATGGAGAGTACTGAATCTTAAGACAATTCTAATTCTGAAAGCCTATGCAGAATAATTGCCAGAATTAATTGTCAGTGAAATTATATCGATATTATTGTGCTTGCTTATTTATGACCTGAGAAATTTCTTATATGGAAAAACACTCTTAAAAATAAAAGTGCTGCCCACTGGTGGGACATTGACGCAAGACACAGAGTGGTTCCCAGGTTGTCATAGGTGAGCATTCACGCTGAGGAGAGGTGCATCCAAGCTTCATTTTATACTCAAAGATTTCTTGTCCTGGTTTAGAACTCTGTTACAGCTAAGAAATCCAGCAATTCACACAGAAATGCAAATTCCTGCTTAATCAGTGGAACATATTTCTTAAGTATTTTCAAAGAAATTGGAAGGGGCAGAGAAAATAAAAATGCAGAAAACCATAAGTAGAGAAAACTGTCTAGGCAGTTGCTATAAAACATGCAACAGTCAGGTAATAATACAGTGGTGCCTCAATTTACGAACTTAATCCGTAACGGAATGGTATTCGTAAGTCAAAAAGTTCATAGGTCGAATCAGCATTTCCCATAGGATGCATTGAAAACCAATTAATACATTCCGGTTGTTTTTTGTTCTTATGTAGAGCCGTTGTTTGTAAGTCAAAGCATTCGTCCCCGTAGGAACAAATGCAAAAGCAGTTAATCCATCTTCTACAACTGGGGGGGAGGGGAGAATTTTTTTTTAACATAAGGGTTTTTTTAAACCTAAGGTTTAAAAAAGGGCAGAAAAGAGGGAGGTAATGAACACCTTTTAAACAAAACACCTTTAAAACCAAGCAGCTTTTAAACCAATTTTTACATTTTAAAATTACAGTACCAGGCAGTCCAAAGTCCATTTCCCACTTTTTCCATGTTTTTGGTTGTTTGTAAGTTGAAGCTCTGCTCGCAAGTTGAAGCAAAATTTTGCGAATGGAGCTGTTCGTAAGTTGAATTGTTCGTATGTAGGGGCGTTCGTAAGTCAAGACACCACTGTACTGACAAATCTGAATACAAGCTGATTAACATACATAATGAAATTTAAAAAGCCTCTATATATAAACCAAGGAAAGGGGGTTAAGACATTCAGCTCTTTTTCCCTTGGTTTCAACAGGGACAGAGCTTACCTGGGAGGAAATCCCATTGAACAAGCATGCATAGGATTGCATTATAAGGAAGTATGCAGAGCCAAAAATAATAAAAATAACTGTAATAAATTTTTTTCATTTTGTTTGTTACATACTTGTTCTAATAGCTGATTGTTTTGGTTTTGCTGACCCTGTGTTTCAACATTTTTTATCACTTATGGTAATTATTTCTCTGCTTGGTGCCATCAGTTACGCTAACTAACTATTTTGACTGGTATGAACTTACAGTTACTTATAGTTTGTGATTTTGCAATGAAAAAGAAAATCGATCTGTTTATAAAATGCTTTTAGTTATATTGATCCATTAGAATTAAAACAGGACAAAAAAGAAGAATACCTTTGTGAAGGACCAAACACTAAGTTACAAAAATTGTCAACAAGATTTGCAAGATTCTTCTTCAGAGAAAATAATATGTTGAATTGATGCTGCAGTGTCCCTTTCATGATCCATGGTTGTATGCCACAGTGTTACACAGTTGAACTGCGTCCCCCACCACCACCAAAAAAAAAGATGCTTGGTCCTTATTAGCCCTCCATCTTGGTGAGTAATTCAGCGATCTAGCTATGATAGCTCCATAAAGGTGAAGGTAAAGGTTCCCCTTGACCAGTAATTCAGGGATCTAGCTAAGATAGCTCCATAAAGGTAAAGGTTCCCCTTGACAATTTTTGTCCAGTCGTATTCAACTCTGGGGGGTGGTGCTCATCCCCGTTTCCAAGCCATAGAGCCAGCGTTTTGTCCGAAGACAATCTTCTGTGGTCACATGGCCAGTGCGACTTAGACACGGAACGCTGTTACTTTCCCACCGAGGTAGTACCTATTGATCTACTTGCATTTGCATGCTTTCGAACCGCTAGGTTGGCGGGAGCTGGGACAAGCGACGGGAGCTCACTCCGTCACATGGATTTGATCTTACGACTGCTTGGTCTTCTGACCCTGCAGCACAGGCTTCTGCGGTTTAGCCCACAGCGCCACCACGTCCCCTCAGGATAGCTCCATGGTTTGAAGTAAACCATATGAGGCACAGACTCTTCTATACAGACTCTTGATATGGAATACAGGCATTTGGCATATCATGAGGAGGCAGGATTCTTTGGGGGGGGGGAAACAGTGATGCTGGGAAAGGTTAAAAGCAGGAGGAAAAGAGGAAGACCAAGTATGAGATGGATTAACTCCCTAAAGGAAGCCACAAGTGTGAGTCTGCAAGAATTAAGCAGGATTGTTAAGGACAGGCTGTTTTGGAGATTGCTCATT